ATACAAAAAAATTAGCTGGGCATGGTGGTGCGTGCCTGTAATCCCAGCTACTCGGGAGGCTGAGGCAGGAGAATTGCCTGAACCCAGGAGGCGGAGGTTGTGGTGAGCCGAGATCGCGCCATTGTTCAGCCTGGGTAACAAGAGCAAAACTCCATCTTAAAAAAAAAAAAAAAAATTGAAATCTCCAAGACAGAAAGACAAAGAAATCTGGAGCAAAGGAAGCAAAAAAGAAAAGGAGAAAATCTGAAAGAGATTTAAAAGAAAAAAATTGAGGATAAGGGTATAGAAGATGATAATTTATACATGAATTCATCAGATATTAGTGACAACTATTTCTTTTTCATGTATTTATTTATTTATTTGCCCAAGGAATAAAAGTACAAGTGCCAACTATTTCAAGACACTTTGCTAGAGATTACGGGGCATGCACTGACAGGTCAGACATAGATAAAAAGTTAGCATACATATGACAGTTCCTTTGTACACATTTAACATAGTATCTGACATTAATGGAGATAACAAAATTAAATAACACACTCACCAACAATTAAAATGAAGAGGGGAAATACGAGTCATCTGAGAGATAGAGTATTGTAAAGTTAGTTCATAGGAAGAAGGAATTATTTCCAGCTGGAGGGATAAAGAGGACAGGGGTGTTTAAAGGAAAAAGTCAGTGCTCATATCAGGCAAAGGGGGTTCACTCTTTCCCAAGCCTGAGTGCCAGGTCTGTACTCACAGCTGTTTACTGGCCATCTCTCCAGGGGTGACCCAAAGGCCTCTCAAACTCTATGCCAACATCCAAATCTGACACCCACCATCTTATCCCCATGTTCCTTGCCCAAGTTAATGGGTTTATTATCCATTCCGAAGTTCATTTATTCAACAGATGTTCATTGAATGTCTGGTATGTGTGGGCACAGGGTCTAGTAAAAGACAGACATCAGATAAGCAAACACAAAAATATAAAAGTACAGGAAAAACAAAGAAAAGTGGTACTGTGAGACAGAAAAGAATGATGGGGAGTTGAGACTGGGTTTAGACCTCTTTGAAGAAATGACATTTAAACTGAGAACTGAAGGATGAAAGGGAGCCAGGAAGGTTTGTAGTTGAAGGGGAGGTTCCTGGCAGAGAAAACATTATGGGAAAAGAAATTGAGGGAAGAAAGGACTTAGCAAATTAGAACTTCAGTTCTCTATAACTACAGCAAAGAAAAAAATGGCTGAGTGTGGTGGGAAATGAAGGCAGAAAAATAGCCAGGGCCTTCTAGTCTCTGTTACAAATTCTTATTTGTATTCTAAATGCAATGAAGCCACCAAAGAGGAGATAGCAATGAAAACACAGATGCCATTCCTGCCCTTGTGGGGCATACAGCCTAATGAAGGAAATAAATGATTTCAGTCCATGACCTAAATGTTAGGATAGGGGACATACTAAGTGTTTTGAGAACACTGAGGAGGAACACCTAGGCCAGTATGAGAAGGTACTGCAACAGCTTCTTAATCTGTTAAGCAGCTGTCAGTGTCTACCTTCCTGTCTATCCTCCACACTGCAGCCCATCCTCATGCCAGCTCAAAACCATCCATGGTTTCCCAAGGGATAAATTCCAGACCCTTGATCTCATGTCACAGTCTGGCCCTAACCTTTATCTTCTTGGTTTAAACTTCACAATGATGTTCAATTTTTTTTTTTTTGAGAGTGTATCGCTGTTGTTGCCCAAGACGGAATGCAATGGCTCGATCTCAGCTCCTTGCAACTTTCACCTCCCGGGTTTAAGCGATTCTCCTGCCTCAGCTTCCTGAGTAGCTGGGATTACAGGCATGCGCCACCATGCCTGGCTAATTTTGACCCAACCTATAGTAACAAATACATTTTCCCTGTACACACACATCCACATAAAACACTAAGACAAAAGTTTCAAGAAACAATTCAGGTAGGATTAACCTGATACTTTCTACTCATTCTATGCTCTTTTTGTTGTTGTTTTCTCTAAATGGTGGTTGTGACTTATTCATGAACAGCTCAAGGGCCCTGGCCTGCAGTTTGAAAATCACTGACTGCTCACTCCACCACTGTGTTCTCCACTCAGCTCTTAGTAAACTCTGTTCTTTTGCCATTTGCCCTAACAGTCCCGGATTCGGGGAATGTCCTTCCCTTTTTCACTATTCCTGTACACAGCAAGTTCTGACTGCCCTCTCAAAATGCAGCTCAAAGGCTTCTACAGAGAAAGCTTACTGCCCCATTCACTATGCTTCCATCCTCAGAGGTTCCATCCTCAGAGGTCCCAGAGCACACCTTGACTGACACATTTGTCATATAGGTTTATGACTTAGGAAACAAACAAAGTCACTCACCTCTAAACTAGGTTTCTGGATATTAGCAACCTAACTGTTTTATTTCAGGCCCCAAATACGATCTCATCTGAAGCAAAGGTCAAGGGATATTATGTTGGATCCATGAAAACTGACCTCATCTTGTGCTAACCTCCCTACACCCTCACCATCTTAGCTGTGCACCAGACCAACTAGCCTTCTTTCTATTTCTCAAACACATCAGTCTTTTCTTCTCAGCACCTACTTGTACCACTCTTCCTGCAGCCATTTCCACAAGCAATGTTCTTACTTTATCTTTAGATCAATAGTCTATTCTCAGGGAAGCTGTCTGCCCAATCTCCCCTCGCATTTCCTTTATTTGTGTTATGACATCTATTACTTCCTGAAATTACCTTGTTTTCTATTTCTTTTCTTTTTTTTCTGAGACAGAGTCTCACTTTGTCACCCAGGCTGGAGTGCAGTGGTGCGATCCTGGCTCACTGTAATCTCCGTCTCCTGGGTTCAAGTGATTCTCCTGCCTCAGCCTCCTGACTAGCTGGGATTACAGGAGCCCACCACTACGCCCAGCTAATTTTTGTATTTTTGGTAGAGACGGGGTTTCACTATGTTGGCCAGGCTCGTCTCGAACTCCGTCCTGACCTCAGGCGCTCTGCCTGCCTCGGCCTCCCAAAGTGCTGGAATTACAGGCGTGAACCACTGCGCAGGGCCTGTTTCTTTTTTCTGTTTGAGACGGAGTTACGCTCTTGTTACCCAGGCTGGAGTGCAATGGCGTGATCTCGGCTCACCAAAACCTCCGCCTTCTGGGTTCAGGCAATTCTCCTGCCTCAGTCTCCCGAGTAGCTGGGATGACAGGCACGTGCCACCATGCCCAGCTAATTTTTTGTATTTTTAGTAGAGACGGGGTTTCACCATGTTGACCAGGATGGTCTCGATATCTTGACCTCGTGATCCACCCGCCTCGGCTTCCCAAAGTGCTGGGATTACAGGCTTGAACCACCGCGCCCGGCCAGGGGCCTGTTTCTTTACTGATTTGTCTCCCACGTTAGAATGTTGACTCTTTGAAGGAACCGATCTACTGAGCTGCCCCAGTAACTTCACCTAAAATAGTGCGTAACACATAGTAGGCCTTCAGAAAACATGAGTGACGAATGAGTAAATGGGAGATGAGGCAGACGAGGCCATAGAAGTCTTAGGAGCCTGTCTTAAAGCCATTCTGAGGTGTCTCTTGCAGAGCCAGGGGCCACTGCTAACGCAAGGTACACAAGCCAGACCAGGGATTGGGAGAGATGAAGGGAGTTAAAGCGCGCAAGTGCCTACCAGTAATAAGTGACTGTACAGGCCGCGCACACCCGCTCGGCTGGGGCTTCGCAAACCTCACAGCAGAGCCTGCGGCCCTTGGGCACCGCCAGTGGGTAGATCACATTCATGGTACAGCAAGCGGTGTTGGTCTCTAAGACCGTTGCCCGGCAAGGAGACGCCGAACCCCGGCGTCACGTGACGATCACGGATCCGCGTCCTTGCCAGTATTTCAAGGGCAGAGGGCGGCGGGATGTGACTCGACTAACATCTGGGGTTTATTATTGAGGCTGCAAAAGGGAAAAAAGGAAAGAAAAAGAGGCACAAACTCCACAAGTTCCAGGTGTCAAAGGCCGAGAAACAGCTCCCAGGAAATCCAAGGCCTGTACGGGGACCGGTAAGGGTCAAATATGGTCAGTTCTTCACCTGGGCTAGAAAACGAACGTGAGGAGCTCGACCGTACCAGATGCCCACTCAGCCGGGAATCCCCCTCGTTTCAGTGTCACGTTCGCTGGGCTCTAGGGCAGAACAACTACGCATTTCCAGACCTGTCAAGATCGGGACCTAGGGTCAAAACAAGGGCAGCGAACCGCCCACTCACTATCGCGCGGCGCGAGCACTAGGAGCACAGGAGAAGGGGCGTGGCGCGGCGGCCGCGGAGCGTGCGCAGGCGCAGTGCGGTGCGGGACCGATAGCGGAAATGGACCTGGTAGCGGAGTTCCCCCAGCCTCCCGGTGCCGCGCGCTGGGCTGAGGTTATGGCTCGCTTCGCTGCCAGGCTGGGCGCGCAGGGCCGGCGGGTGGTGTTGGTCACGTCCGGCGGCACCAAGGTCCCACTGGAGGCGCGGCCCGTGCGCTTCTTGGACAACTTTAGCAGCGGGCGCCGCGGTGCAGCCTCGGCTGAGGCCTTTCTAGCCACCGGCTACGGGGTTCTGTTCTTGTATCGCGCTCGCTCCGCCTTCCCCTATGCCCACCGCTTCCCACCCCAGACTTGGCTGTCGGCTCTGCGCCCTTCGGGCCCAGCCCATTCAGGCTTGCTGAGCCTGGAGGCGGAGGAGAACGCACTCCCGGGTTTTGCTGAGGGTCTGCGGAGCTACCAGGAGGCTGCAGCTGCAGGCACCTTCCTGGCGGTAGAGTTCACCACTTTGGCGGACTATTTGCATCTGTTGCAGGCTGCGGCCCAGGCACTCAATCCGCTAGGTGCGTGCCCTAGGAGTATCCCTTTTGCCTGGAAGCAGCTCCTTTCTCTCCAGCCACTTGTTCCCTTACCTCCTGCTTACCCACGGATCTCAGCTGGGGAATCCGAGTTGAAAAGGCGCTGATCCTGTATCCCTCTCCGATTTGTTACACCTTGTTCTTCTCTTTGCAGGCCCTTCTGCGATGTTTTACCTGGCTGCGGCCGTGTCAGATTTCTATGTTCCTGTCTCTGAAATGCCTGAACACAAGATCCAGTCATCTGGGGGCCCACTGCAGGTGATGGGCACTTCTCTTCCAGAGATCTAATCCCATATAACCAATCTTGGGTTAATTTCCTCTTGATCTGGAGATGGCCTTTCTGCATCTGTATGTGCTAGGTTCAGGGGATACAGAGATGAATAAGACACCGCCCTCCCTCATGGACCTCACAATCTAGTGAGGGAGCTGGACACAGACATAATTACAATACAGAGTGATAAATGCTCTAGTGGAGGTATGTACAAAGTGCAGTCAGACCATAGGGCGAGTAAATTCTGGGGTAGTCGATGAAGCTTCTTGGAGGAGATGACTTGAACTGGGTTTTAAAAGATGAGCAGAGAATAATCCCAACACTTTAGGAGGCTGAGGTGGGCGGAGCGCCTGAGATCAGGAGTTCAAGACCAGCATGGCCAACGTGGTGAAACCCTGTCTTTACTAAAAAAAAAAAAAAAAAAACTAGCTGGGTGTGGTGGCGGGCACCTGTAATCCCAGCTACTCGGGAGGCTGAGGCAGGAGAATCGCTTGAAGCCGGGAGGTGAAGGTTGCAGTGAGCCAAGATCATACCATTGCATTCCAGTCTTGGCGACGATGAGAGTGAAACTCCATCTCTAAAAAATAAAATATAAAAATAAAGATGAGCAGAGAGTGTACAAAGTGGGAAAGGTCATTCTAGGTGGAGTATGGCAGCTGGAATTTAGAAGTGGGTAGCGGGTTGTGAACCGAAGTGCTTTGGTAAGGCTGGAGAGCTGACTGAAGAGATGGCTGCTTTGTAGAAGACTTAGTTTTTCTTTTTTAAGGAGCTTGGAATTTTTCTTGTGGAGCTAAGGGACACATAAGTAGGAGAATGAGGTCAAGTTTTTGTTTGAGAACAACATTCTGGCATCAGTATGAAAGATGAAGTAGAGAGGGAGAAATTGGGTAGATTAGTTGGGGGCTATGGTAGTTTAAGGAAGATATATGGAGAAGGTAGGTGTGGTTGTGATTTTAGATGATCTGGTTGCTTGGAACCTTCGGGAGTTCTTAGTCATTTATTGGGTGATACAGGTAGGATTGTATTAGGAGAAACTCTACCTGTGGGGCATTTGCCGACTTTGTAGAATAATTTATTGGGGTCCTACACTGCTGTAGGACTTGGAGATGAAAGCAGTGAAAAGAAATACCCTGCCCTTGTGTTGCTTCCTTTGCAGAGGAGACAATAAGTAAGTCAAATACATACCTTGTTTGGTAGTGATAAATGCCGTAGAGAAAAATAAAGTGGTATGTGATCCCTGTCACACTTACTAACAGCTTTTCTTTAGGGGAAATCCTGATGATTAACTTAGTGATTTCACACTTTTTAATCTCTGGGATCTTTAGTTTATCTCATATTTTTTAGTTCTATCTTTTTTTTTGAGACAGAGTCTCCCTCTGTCACCCAGGCTAGAGTTCAGTGGCACAATCTCAGCTCACTTCAACCTCCACCTCCCGGGTTCAAGAGATTCTCCTGCCTCAGCCTCCCAAGTAGAAGTTCTATCTTGAAAGTAACAAAACAACTCAACATTACCCTGAGAAGGGACTAGGGATGAGGTAGTAGGAGTTTTGGTCAAGTGAAAATAAAATCAGTTTCCTCACTGCTAAGTTGTGTTACAAGTGACAATTTAAAAATGGAATCTAATAGCCATTCTACCAATGCAAGAAGTATTTTAGGCTGAGAGGTTTAAAAACCCAACCGTAGGCTGGGCTCTGTGACACCTGTAGTACCAGCACTTTGGGAGGCTGAGGTAGGCGGGTCACCTGAGGTTGGGACCTCAAGACCAGCCTGACCAACATTTTTGGCTTTATTGGCTTCTGCCAAAGTGACATTTGTATGAACAGATTATCTGTTTATTTGAGGGTTTGGTTCAAAAATAAAGGGGCATGCTTGGGAAAATACTAATGGTGATAAGGGTGGCAGAGCAGGGCAGGGCTTATTCAGAAGACGTGGTTTGCCCCAGAGCATGTATGGAGCCTTGAATTTAGGCATCACTGTGAATCCTACAGAGCCAAGGATTTTTTTTTGAGACAAAGTGTCACTCTGTTGCCCAGGGTGAAGTGCAGTGGCACAATCAGCTCACTGCAGCCTCAGCCTCCCAGGCTCAAGTGATCCTCCCGTCTCAGCCTCCTTAGTAGCTGGGACTACAGGTGGGTGCCACCATGCTTGGCTAATTTTTTTATTTTTTGTAGAGACACGGTTTTGCCATGTTCCCCAAGCTGGTCTTGAACTGGGCTCAGGAGATCCACCCACTTTGGCCTTCCAAAGTGTTGGGATTACAGGCCAAGCCACTGTGCCCCTGCCAAAGCTTTTTAACTAAGCATTTAATTGAAAAGTTTGACAGTTGAAAAATTCCACTTAAATTTGATTCCTTCGTTTCCATAGTTTCCCATGAAATTGACCTGGTAGGTAATGACCATTGTTTGCTTATTAAGGTTTTCTTTTTCCAATACAGATAACAATGAAGATGGTGCCAAAAATGCTTTCTCCTTTGGTTAAAGATTGGGCTCCCAAAGCATTTATAATTTCCTTTAAGTTGGAGACTGACCCCTCCATTGTAATTAATCGAGCTCGGAAGGCTTTGGAAATTTATCAGCATCAAGTGGTTGTGGCTAATATCCTTGAGTCACGGCAGTCCTTCGTGTTTATTGTAACCAAAGATTCGGAAACCAAGTTACTGCTATCAGAGGAAGAAATAGAAAAAGGCATAGAGATAGAAGAGAAGATAGTCGATAATCTTCAGTCTCGACATACAGCTTTTATAGGTGACAAAAACTGAAGTAAAAAGCCCTTACAGGATCAAAAATTGTTCAGGGCTCTTACAGATGGTGAAAACTCTAATAAAACCTTTGCTTTCATATGGACAGATAAAATGAAGAAAAGGGAAAAGGCAGTGGTGTGCAGGCAAATAAGGTTTGGTATTTGTCTTTTAATGACGACACCTAATACACTCACCTGAATGTCTCCTTGATTTTGAAATTGAACACTAGAACTGTTTCTCACCTTTGAAAAGAAGAGCTTATTGGGAATTACATATTCCTTAAAATATACATAGGTGCCTGAATATTGTCCTCCTTTATACAATAAAAAGAGGATTATGGATGCAAGAATGGCCATGCTTTGGAGATCAAATATTTGTTGAGTGCCTACTGTGTGTCAGGCCCTGTGCTGAGCCATGAGGATTAAAAAGATGAATAAACATGTCTTGTTTGGGAAATGGATGTATAAAAAATTAAGTGCAATAAAGTGTCCAAAAGCTGACTCAATGGAAAGGATGTTTTTTTGGAAATTGATGAAGCATAGGAGTAGGAGAGAAGGATACCTCCCTGAAGATAGATTAGAGAATGGTGAGCTTTTCACTGGATTTACTTTTTGCTTCTTATTCTAGATTTACCTCATATTTGGGTAACAGTTTATGTTTCAAGTATTTTAGGACTACTCTTGAGCTTAACTTAACATGGCCTTCCACCTGGGACCAGGCAGAGGTCACTTGGTGACCTCTGTCCTGAGGGAGGCATTACAGTGTGGGCTAGGAGTCAACTTAGCCAGCTGGGCCACCTATTCGTTTTATAAACTTAGACATTTGACTTAATCTCAGCATCCTCATGCATAAAATGGGGATAATCTCTCTGCAAAGTAATGCCATTTATTGTGAGGATTAAATGAAATTGTGAACAGAAAGCATCAGTCTGGGTGCCTAGCACTTGCTTCACACTCACTAAATGGTTGCAGTTAGCGTTTTTCTCACTTAGCAAAGCAGTGTTACACCAGTGGCCTGCTTAATCTTTGAATCCTTGAGAACCTTTGAAAAACTTTCAGTACTTCTCTTGCTGTCCTGGATTTTGGGTTGGGAGTGCACAAGTCGTGTAGTGCAAAAAAATTCCCTAAATGATCTCTAGGATAGTTCAGGGTGCAATTTGAAAAATTAGCATTAATGACTAAGGTAGAAGCAGGTACTGTGTTTCACATAAATATTTGACTTAAAGTACAACTCATGGTGTTTCATGGAGTAGGGAAGGATAGCCCATGTATCTGTCTGATAATGGAAGTACAATAAATTTAATTGAGAAGATTTGAGCAGAAATTCTAAGATAGACTGAAATACTTCGTTAATCAGGAAGCGTGACCTTGAGCAGAGGAGAAATAACTGCAGCAGTCAAGCCTGTTCTAGAAGCAGCAGTCCCTTTGGAAAAATATTTTTTTTTTGCTTAGAGACAAGGTCTTGCTTTGTCACCCACGTTGGAGTGCAGTGGCCCAATCATAGTTCACTGTAACCTTGAACTCACGGGCTCGAGCACTCCTGCCACAGCCTTCTGAGCAGCTGAGACTGCAGGTGTCTGCCACTATGCCTGGCTAAATATTTTATTTTTCATAGATAACAAGGTCTTAACTATCATACCCAGGATTCTTTGACAAAGATTTTAAATGAATTTCAGTACCAATTTGCAAAACCCCAAAAGCAACAGGCTCTGTCAGCAGTGGCTGCAGTACTGAAGGGCAAGAAGTAGAATGTGTTCTTCCCTGCATTTAGAGCTTCATGTGGATGATGACTCATCATCTTTGGATGTACAATGGGGATATGTGGGGCTAAAAGTAGAAGTAATCGTAATGTTTGTTTTTAACCATAATTATTACTTCCCTTGGGAATCATTTTATATCCTCTCTTGTTAACGCTTAAAAACAACCAATGTTCTACATGAAATTATTTAGTGTTTTCTGCTTCAGTTTAATTTATATTCAGAGTACTTAAAAAGAAAGTAAAAATTCCAGGGAGTGGAGGGGAGAGAGAGAGTGAGAGTGTATGAGAGTGTGTGTGTTTTAACAGCAAATGGAAGTGTATAAAGGAAAGGAACATGAGTCAATGAGGGTAAGTAGGAACCTGATTTTGGATGGAGGATCAAGGAATGTTTCCCTAAGTAGGTGATACTAAAACTGATAAACAGTAGTTAAGTGAGCTACAGGTGGTGATGGGGATGAGCATTTTAGTTCAGAAAAAACACTTGCAAGAGGTCAGGTGGCAGAAGGAGAGGTTGAGGCACTTATGTAAAGAGTAAGATGGTCAAGAGATTGAGAACATCCTGGTCAACATGGTGAAACCCCGTCTCTACTAAAAATACAAAAAATTAGCCGGGCATGGTGGCACACGCCTGTAATCCCAGCTACTTGGGAGGCTGAGGCAGGAGAATTGCCTGAACCCAGAAGGCAGAGGTTGCGGTGAGCCAAGATCGCGCCATTGCACTCCAGCCTGGGTAACACGAGCGAAACTCGGTCTCAAAAAAAAGAGTAAGATACGTCCTGTTAATGCATGTAGAACCAGCAAATATTTGGAAAGTATCCTCTTGGGGAACTAGAATAAGACCAAGAAATGTTGTGTTTGGGATACTAGCAAAGCAAGGGCCTCCAAAACATAAGTAAAATCGAGCTTTGATAATTAAAAAATTTCAATTAGAGCATCTAAAAAGATGATGTAAATTGAGTATGTTAAATTTCGTGTCATAAGTTTTTATTTTGCATTACATAAGTGGGGGAGATAAAGTTCAACTTAGCTGAATTTTCAGTGTTAGGACTTTCAAAGGGCTTCGGCCTTCGGGATAATTCTAGTCAAGCCCATTTTCTTATTTTTACAATAGTAAGCTGGGTCCAAAAATTGTGATTTATCTTGCATGCCCCACATGGCTAGTGACACTATCTAGGCCTAAATTTCAGAACTCTTGACCTAGCACTCCCTGCCCCTTTAAGAATGAAGGAACTTATAGGGGGAAAAAAAAAATCCAAGGTTAGTAGGCTGGGGCTGTAGTTGAGGCCTGGCGGGAGGCTCTTCGAGAACTAGAACGCCCCAAGACAAAATGCATTTGCTAAATCGCAAAAGCGTGACATGACGTTACCATGGTTACAGCTGTCTGAAAGCCAATGGAATGAGTCGTACTATCAATACGGCAGGAACAACTCCGCCCCCGGCCCGATTGCCAATAGTGTGAGCCGTAACAACAGTCTCCTCAAGAAGCACTGTCTCTGGCGCCGGTGGCGTGCGTCGTCTCTATGGTTCCCGCCGAAAGGACGCCTTTGCGTCTCTGCGGCGAGCGTGGTTGCTATGACGTCCCGGTCTCCGCCAGCACCTGCACCTTGCGGTTGGGCGATTAGGGGCCAAGCGACCCCGGGACCCTCGCGGCACCCTCTGCAGGAAAATTTCCGACTTGGTTCCTGAGGTTCCTACGGAGGAAAGCACTCTTTCTCCCCTCTTTTCTGCATTCCGGGCCTTTTCCTCTTCTCTCCCCAGTATGGCCCGAAACTACAGAAGGGGAGCCCCTCCTGGCCCGGCCTTTGTAGTCCTGGGCTTGAGTGATTCCGCATGAGGTAGGATTCGCCCGTTTTCCCCGGAGCCAGCTGCCACAAGCTTTTAGTATTAGGCTGCCGCTCTTTATTAGAGCGGGCTTAGAACACCCTCAGCGAGGTAGGTCGGCGTTCCTTTTCTCACTTAAAGGTGAGGTCTCGAGACGCGCCCCTGACAGCGCTAGAAGGTCCGGGCCACTACAAAGTCCACGGAGGCGCAGCTTTCCCCTACGTGTAGGCCCGCGAACAAAGAACTGCAGTTTCTGATTTTTTGGCCGATGTCCATCATGCAGAACATTGAATCCCGATGAAGATTTGGAGGCCTTTTGTATCCTCAACATCAGAGGTCATGAAGTCAGTTACCTTCTGCCTTTCAAGCTACAACCTTTTCCACTTCTCTCATCATTCCAAGCACCAGTTTTCTCATCCTGCTTATTTCACAGCTATTTTAACCTTTCCCTGTTCACACTGCACATTATTGAATGTCCATTCGTCTCCACCACCTCTGTCATCTATAAACCACCTCCTGCTTTCCTGCTTTCCTGCCGCAATGTTTTGTGTACCTAAGTATTTCGCATTCTCCAGCTCTGCAGTCACTGGGAAGATTTTCTTTCTTTGCACTATGGCAAGCTTTCAGTCTTGGGTAGAGACTAGGAGAAGTGCACATTGGTAAATATAAACATTAAATACGGCAAGCCGAGTGTGTTTTGAAAATGGAAAAAAAAAATCAAAATTGCAGTATTGGACCCATTTCAGGCTTATATAATGAACTAAGTTGTTCCTTGTTTAATTAAGTTTTGTTGATGTGTTTATCAATGTGAAAAGCGCATTCAAAATGATCATGTAATACAGGATTTCAACTTTAAGCCCATATGAACCCAACGTTGGGGATATGATATAATTTTCTGGAGAGGAGATAATTGAAATAGTACTTGTGCCTTCTTTTTCCTGTCAGTTTCTGAATCAGAAAACATTCTTTGTGATGTAAGCCAAGAAACAAAAACAATAAGGAGTGACTGAAAATAAATCTTTTTGGCAAGGGAGCAGACACAATAGTTCTAAAAAGGCTGGAACAGAGGGCCGTAAATATGGCATAAGATTAATTTATATCCAGTACAATTTTATTTTAACTTGGACAGCTTGACTTAATTTATCTTACAATATGTGTTCCTAGTTGAATCTTACTATTTCTTCTTCAGTATTCAGGTTTTTTTTCTTTTTCTTTAAAAGGGGTTTCACCATGATGGCCAGGCTGGTCTTGAACTCCTGACCTCAGGTGATCCAGCCACCTCAGCCTCCCAAAGTGCTAGGATTACAGGTGTGAGCTACTGTGCCCGGCTCTCAGTATTCACTTTTAAAAGTAAACCTATTTTGAGGATATGCAGAACATAGACATTTTAAACAGCTATTTGGGGCCATAATGATTTGGATATTTTGACTTCTCAGGCCAACCGAAGCAGTTGTTTGTGATGTGAGCCAGGTCAAGTTTTTAAATACTGAGAAATTCAGCTTTCTCTTCTAGAATAGATAGGAAAACAAAAACAAGTTCTGCAGCCTTTTCAATCTTGGACATTACATTGGAACTGGATAAACTCTAACTCTTGATAAAAGAGGATGTTAGATGCTATATTGTAAGGGGCTCTCCTTTCCTCTTCTAATATGTATTTATTGAATAAACATTATTATGTCAAGTCACAAATTTTAAAAATGTTTAACCTGGGCAAATGTGGCAAAAACCTGTCTCTGCAAAAAATAAGCCAGGCATGGTGGAATACTCCTGTAGTCCTGGCTACTCTGGAGGCTGAGGTAGGAGGATCACTTGGGCCTGGGAGGTCAAGGCTGTAGTGAGCTATGATAGTGCCACTGCACTCCAACCTGGGCAACAGAGTGAGATCCTGTCTTTAAAAAAAAAAAAGAATCCTGTCATTCTAGCACAGTTTTAAACCTGGGGAAGGGGTGTTGTTTTGCCCCCTTTGAGACATTTGGCAATATATGAAAACATTTTTAGTTGCCACAACTGGGGATGTGCTGTTGGCCTCTAGTTGGTAGAGACCGGGATGCTGCTCCACATTCTACTATGCACAGAACTGCCTCCATAACAGCTCAGAACGTCAGTAGTGCCAAGGTTGAGAAACTCTGTCCTAACATATCAACAATTCATTTTTTTTGTTCTGTGTCAGTCTTGCTCAGACGTGTATACTTTTACATAGTAATGTATTTTACCTTTTTTTCACCTAATTTTATGTTTTAAACATTTTTCACATTGCTACACTGTTTTCAACTTTTGAAAAAAGTGTACTAATTTTGAGAATTGAAAAACTGTGCATAATATGTATTGTATTTAAGATGTCTGTGAGTTTTAAATTATATTTGTGTGAAAGGAATGGAAAATAGAAGAAAAAAAGGTTAGAGTGAAAAGTCACCTGACTGGATATTTCTGTTTTTGTGGCTGTGCTATATGCTTTGTTCCCCAGTGTCACTCAAAGACCTTGGAATTCAAAGCTCATCCTTTGCTCAGAGGCAGATGTGCTATAGCATAAGATAGGGTCCTGACCCCTGCAGTGCAGTTGGAGAGTACCTACTAGGAGAAAAATCAAGTAGACTGCACGCATTCTTCTTGCCCTCTTCTCGTTTAAAATTCTTTGTCTCTGTCTGTTTGCTTTGACAGCTTTACCACCTTATTCTTTATATCTAGAAGTTTTTGGAGGCCTAAAACCACTTCAGGATGCACTTTTTTCTGAGAGAGTGGATTTTTAAGAGATTTAATGAGCATTTAATTAGTATCTACTTTGGACAGAATAGTATTCTTTTGTTGTTGTCGTTGGGAGATTCTTGCTCTGTCACCCAGGCTGGAGTACAGGGGCAAGATCTTGGCTCACTGTTGCCTCTGCCTCCCAGGTTACCAGCAATTCTCCTGTCCCAGCCTCTCAAGTAGCTGGGATTATAGGCACATGCCACCACACCCAGCTAATTTTTGTATTTTTAATAGAGATGAGGTTTCACCGTGTTGGACAGGCTTGTCTCGAACTCCTAACACAGGTGATCTGCCTGCCTCAGCCTCCCAAAGTGCTGGGATTACAGGCAGGAGCCACCGCGCCTGGCCAAGAAGAGTATTCTTATTTACTTTGTTGCGTGGCAATTTTAGGTACAGTTTAGATGTCAGAGCATTTATAATTCAATTATATAACCTCAAGATCTAGTTTACTAGAATTTAAAAATTAATCATGAGGTCTCAATACATCCACTGGGAAAATGTTTGTTTGGGGATCTCATAGCACCATTCCAGGCAGAGTGACTTGAATGTCAAAAATTGTGGAAATATAAGCAGCATGATGGGGACCGATAAATATACTGTCATGAATGGCTAATGTGAAGGAGTAGCAGAAGACAAGGCTAGAGAGACTGGCAGGAACCAGATTGTGAAGAATCTCTGGTCCCAAGCTAAGGGGTTTGAACTCTACCTGAAAGTAAGGAGAAGGTTAGGCAGCAAGTGATTTGCATTCGGGAAGATCAGCCTGGAGTTTTGCTGAGGACAGATTGGATGGGGGCCAGCCTGGCAGCAGGAACATAAATTAAGGATGTTGTTACACTATACTGAGCAAATAGTGAGGCAAGCCTAAACTAAGGCAGTAACCCTAGACATGGAGAGGATGAATTAGAAAATGATAAAATAACTACTGCAAATTCAGTAACTGGTTGCACACCAGAGTAGGAATAGGAAGGAGGATCAAGGATGACTCCTAGGTTTCTGGCTTGGAAAACTATGTTGATAGTGATTTTTAACTACGAAATATAGGAGGAAGAGGGAAAGATAAATAGATTGTTCAAGCTGAGTTCACTAGCCAACTGGCCAAGAATTGGTCTTAAACAGTAGACTCATTTTATATTGCCTTCCTCACTTATATATTCTTCTCTAGAACTTGCATCTCTCTGGAAAATCTTATTTAAGGAGTAGACCTTCAGGGGCCATATTTGTACCCCTACTTCCAACCCATTCCATGCACAACTGACTGAATGGGGAAAATAGAGCTAACTTTGGAGAAGGGGCACAAGCAATTGTCTCTCTCAAAAATTTGAACTAAGAGATACTAAGATAGAAATGGCTTAATCTAAAAAGTTACATAGACTAAGGACTTGAATAGCTGTTTTCAGCCTTGCTGATGAGCAAGCAGAGGAAGTTCAACTCTGTAGGGGAGCAAGAGGAGCAGACTCACAGGGAAGCTCAGAGACAAAAGACCTCCTGGGTCAGGAGAGACTGTTGATGGCTGTGTAGTTCCATATCCAGTTTCTGTGCAGCCACATTTAGTTTCCAGCATATGTCCTTGTACCTCATCCACTCAATAACCCTCATATATTAGTTGAGATTGGCTGGTTGCGTGAGGGACAGAAAGCCCAAAATAGTAATGCACTGAAAAAGGAAGAAATGTATTCCTCCCACATAAAAGTCAAGAAGAAAGCAATCTATACTGGGTAGAGAAGCACCTTGAAATGGGCAGAAACCCAGGTTTCTTCTCTCCGGATGTTATAGCTAGCATGTGGTTTCCAGCTATGGTATCCAGGATGGCTGCTCAAGCTTCAGCTATCTTGTCTGAATCCCAGCTAGTAGAAAGGAGGAAGGAGCAAGAAAAGGGGGCATCATGTTCCTAAAGGATAGTTTCTGGAAGCAACACATAGTTCCATTTACACCCATTGGTCAGAACTTGGTCACCTGGCTGTGTCTTTCAGTAAGGAAGGCAGCCTTGTGATCAGTCAAAAAACTTAATGTCTTATTTCTGTGGAAGAAGGGAATAGTAAATATTAAAGGCCACCTGTAGTCTCTGCCACACTCACCTGTATTTGTTCCACCTTCAGTGTGTTTCAGTTTCTTGCCACTTCTAGATTGCTCTGGAGCATAGTAGAGAGAGATTCTTGTTTAATCTTCCAAACAACCCAGTGCAGTAGGCATTACTATTACATTTATTCTACATACAGAATAAAAATTTAAGCAAGTTACCTGACTTGTGTAAGTCACACAGTTACCAAGTAGCAAAGCCAAGGTTTGAGCCAAGTTAGACTCCTGTGCCCAAGCTGTTAATCACATGGTAGTGAGAAGGGCAGAGAGCTAAAGGCAATGTTCTTATAAATGGCAGCATTTGAAGGGATGGAAGAGGAGGAACCAAGGAAGAATACTGAGAAGGAAAGGCTAGAGACCTAGGGGTCAAAACAGGAGAAAGTGACATCACAGAACAGAAAAAAAACAACTTTCAGAGAAGGAGTGAAGAGGTATGGCAAAGAAATCATATGTTGAAACAAACAAAAACAGGGCCAGACACAGTGGCTCATGCCTGTAATCCCAGCACTTTGAGAAGCTGAAATGGGAGGATCACTTGAACCCAGGTGTTCAATTCCAGCCTGGGCAACATATCAAGACCCTTGTCTCTACCAAAAAAAAAAATAATTTAAAAAATAAGATGGGCATGTGGCACACTCTGTAGTCCTAGCTCTTCAGGAGGCTGAGGTGGGAGGATCACTAGAAGCCCAGGAGTTTGAAGCTGTAATGAACTATGAATATAGCATTTTGAGTTCATTGTTGACTGCTAATTTGAGTACAATGGTAAGAGCAGAAGGCAAAATGCAGTTAAGTGTGCGAGTGTGGAAGCCAAACACAGAAGCCAAAATATAGGAGTGTGGGAGACAAATTGTCCAAAAGAGGACAGTAGCTAGAGAAGTATATGGTGTAGAAGTAACTGTAGAATTACTTTAAGAAAGCAACTGCTTCATACCCAATAGGATGGCTACTTTTTTTGAAAAAAAAAAAAAAAAAAAGTAACCCAAAGTAAGTGTTGACAAGGATGTAAGATATTAGGACCTTTTACATTGCTGGTAGGAATGTAAAATGGTATAGCTACAGTAGAAGATCATATGATAATTCCTCAAAAAAAGAAGTTAAACATAGAATTATATATCTAGCAATTTCACTCCTTCATTTGTAGCCCAAAGAATTGAAAGCAGGGACTCAGATACTTTTACACCACTATTCGCAGCAGCATCATTCACAATAGTTGAAAGGTGGAAACAACCCCAGTGTCCACCAGGTGAATGTATAACTGAAATGTGGTATGTACATACAATGGAATATTATTCAGTCTTAAAAGGAAATGAAATCCTGAAATTCTGATTAGTAATACAGCATGGATGAACCTTGAAGACATTATGCTTTGTGAAATAAGCCAATACAAAAGGGCAAATATTGTATGATTCCACTTCTATGGGTTATACAAAATAGGCAGGCTTATAGAGACAGAAAGTAGAATAGAGATTCCCAGGGGCTCGGGAAAAGGGGAATGAGAAGTTATTGTTTAATGGGTATAGAGTTTCTGTTTGGGATAATGAAAAGTTTTGGAAATGATAGTGACGGTTTGACAACATTGTGATTATACTTCATGTCATGGAATTCTAACAGTTAAAAATGGTTAAAATGGTAAATTTTAGGTTATGTATATTTTACAACAATTAAGAAAAATAGGGGCAAGATACATGGAAGGTGTTAGTCAGAGGGAGACACATGGAGTTTAGGATGGCAGGGTTTCAACATTCAGGTTGTGATCAGGGCTCAGGTGTAGCCATGAGGATGGGCGGTTAAATAAAATGGTGAATAAAGATCACTGGCTTTGGGAGGATAGTCAAGTGAAGGAGCTTGAGTGATTTGTGCACTTGGGTATTGACCTGAAGCCTACACTGTCCTGATCAGCAAGGATTGGAGCCAGAGGTGTTTTCCAATATCCTCGATCCTTTTTTCCTTTCAACTTCCTTCAACCTAAGACTCCCCTATTCCACCCCTATAGCATAGGGAGTATGCTGTTTGGGCAAGCAACCCACAGTACAGGACTTAGAATAATTTAAGCATTTATTTTCTAATTACAGCCTCATTAGTTTATCACAACGGCTTTTAGCACTTTGAGGTATTTGCTTCCAGTCTTTGTGTGTCTAGTTATAATAATACTTTGACATTCTGCTTTATCTGTTAGCATTATCACATAAGCATTTTTCCATATTGCCAAATAGTCCTCATAGGATGCTATGTATTCTTAGTATCTTGGATTCTCTGCTACCCAGGACTAAAACCACAAGTTAACTGTCTGATGCTCAGAAACCTTGTGGGGAGAAGGGGGAGAATATGAGTGGGAACCAGGTGAAGGAAGTGGGGGCACAAAATAAAATTTTTAGTTATATATCCTGAGGGGGACCCACAGAGGTGCAGGATGAAAAAGACTTGGGTTCTTTTTCATCAGTATGAGTTGACATAAGACAGTTTAACAAGAGAAAAGCACACAAATTTATTTAAATTGGAATTAAATGGAAATGAAGACCCAAAGAAGCAATTAGAATCAATTTCTTATATACTGAGTTGCACAAAGCATAGTAAGTTGTTAAAAAGTAAATATATGGAAAGGCTGAAAAGATGAGTTATTTTAACAAGGTCTGTACAGAATTCTCTTGGTCTCAAGTTCCCCTTCCTTAAAAATAAGAAAGTTGCTTTTCTTCTAGCATAGGAAGGGCATCTTTCAACATGGGAGTTTCATCTTCTACTTTTAAGAAATAGAAGATCAGAATGATCTTGTACTTGCTGTTTTTCAAGTGTGTTTGACTCAAAATAGTCAATATGCTAGAGTGGTATGTTTTTAACTCCTTCACTAACATATTAAGGACTTAGAGCATATTAAACACTTCACAGCTACAAGGGAAAATACAGGTAGGACCTCTTCTTTAGAATATTCTATCTTTGTGTACCTGCACAAATTCGGTGCTATTATTGTACATATTATTTTGTTTTGTTTTTTGAGAAGGAGTCTCGCTCTGTCACCAGGCCGGGGTGTGGTGGTACAATCTCAGCTCGCTGCAGTCTCTGCCTCCCGGGTTCAAGGGATTCTCCTGCCTCAGCCTCCTGAGAAGCTGGGACTACCAATGAGTACCACCACATCTGGTTAGTTTTTGTACTTTTAGTAGGGACAGGATTTCACCATGTTGGCCAAGATGATCTGGATCTCTTGACCTCGTGACCCGCCCGCCTTGGCTTCCCAAAGTGTTGGGATTACAGGTGTGAGCCAATGCACCCGTCCCATTATACATATTACTATATATGGTTAGTGATTGTATTTACCACACATTTATTATTTCTTTTACTGAGCATTTTTCCTTGCATCTCAGCTATTCCATTTTGGATAATTTTTCTTTTTTCCTTAGAAATTCCTTTTACAAGAGTTTGTTGATGGAAGTTTTCTTTGTTTTTGCCTCAGGTGCAGAGAAATTTGAGTTAATCATAGGACATATTACATATGTGCTGTACTCTCATTTTTTTTCTTTCTTGTTTTCTACTGGGTAGATTGAATTTTCTTCTGATGATTTAAAGTTTGCTTTCTATTTTTGTTTGTATAGCAGTTGTATTTTAAGAGTTTTCCTTAATTCTAGCTTGTTTTTTTTCTTTAACCTCTACAAAGCTTCTGGAAAATTTCTTCCACAATTTTTGGTAATTCTCAGCAGGAGAGTTGTTCCAGGGCTCTAATCCATCACACTTCAAGAAACAGAAGATATGGTATGTCCTGCTGCCAGGATGGGTTTCTGCAATGTAAATTAGCTCATGAGGAATGATAAATAGGAGAAGGATGCCATTGTAATGCAGAAGTTCATGTTCAATTTTCCCTAGCATGTTAATGATTCGGACTACCAATAAGCCTCGGTTTGTGCGTGGATCTTACTCATCCCACATTCTTCAAATTACATACTGGTTCACATGAGTGAAGGCTGAGAAGAAATGTGGCTGGAGGTATTTTGAGAAACCACATCGAGCCGGGCGTGGTGGCTCATGTCTGTAATCCTAGCACTTTGGGAGGCTGAGGTGGGTGGATCACCTGAGGTCAGGAGTTCAAGACCAGCCTGGCCATCATGGTGAAACCCCATCTTTAAAAAAAAAAAAAAAATTAAATAAAAAAGAAAAAACAAAAAAAGAGGAACCACATCATGGTGAAATCATATGCTGACTAAAGCATTTGGATTTGGCACCTGGCCTATACTTCATGTTCCTGGACTATGCTAAAGGCATAAAAATATTTTTGAACTTATGAATAATTGACTTTGTTATAAAAGATCTGGAGAATCACTAAATAACTTTAAGAGGGTAGTTAGTATGATCTGGTTTATGTTTTAGAAAAACTACTCTAGCAATAGTAAAGGGATGGATTGCATAGGGACGAGATTGGAAGTGAGAAACTTAGGGGTAGTTTTGCAGTAATAATCAAAGAATGAGAACCAAAAACAAGGCTCAGAGTGTAAATGGTGAAGGGAAGATGAACTGAGTTATTAATGAAAGGGAATCTATAAAACAAATTGAAAATGGTGGGTGAAATCTTGGATGACTCTAATGCCATCTACTCAATCACTTTGAGATTATAGTTTTCCAATAATGGCCAGAAAGAATTAACGCAGGTACTCTGGCCATGCACAGTGGCTCACACCTATAATCCCAGCACTTTGGGAGGCCAAAGCAGATAGATTGCTTGAGCCTAGAATTCAAGACCAGCCAGGGCAATGTGGTGAAACCCCCATCTCTGCAAAAAAATACAGAAATTAGCTGGGCATGGTGGCACACACCTGTAGTCTCAGCTACTCAGGAGGCGCAGGTGGGAGGACCATCTGAGCCTGGGAGGTCGAGGCTGTGGTGAGCCATGATTGTGTCACTGCACTCCAGCCTGGGCAATGGAGTGAGACCCTGTCTAAACAAAACAAAACAACAAGAAAAACCCAGATACTCCAAGTTACTTTAGGATAAAATATAGCCTGTAACATTTGTATTGCAGCCCCAATTTTGTTAAAGCTACTATTTTGTGTAAGCCAATATTGTAAAGAGCCTGAGCATAAAATAATCAGCAGAGTCGCTTTTTTTATTTGCCAAAACTGACAGACTGATTCTAAAGTTGACGTGGACCTAGACTAGTCAAAAAACTGAAAAAGAACGAAGTTGGAGGACTAACACTTCCTGAGCTCAAGACTTACACCATAAAGCTGTAGCAATCAAGAAAATACACTCTTGGGCTGGGCGCGAAGGTTCATGTCTGTAATCCCATCAGTTTGGGAGGCCAAGGTGGGTGGATCACTTGAGGTCAGGGGTTGGAGACCAGCCTGGGCAACATGGTGAAATCCTTTCTCTACTAAAAATAGAAAAATTAGCTAGGCGAGGTTGTGGGTGCCTGTAATCCCAGCTATTTGGGTGGCTGACGCAGGAGAATCACTTGAACCTGGGAGGTGGAGGTTGCAGTGAGCCAAGATTGCACCATTGCACTCTAGCCTAGGCAACAGAGACTCCATCTCAAAAAAAAAAAAAGAGCATGTATTCTTGGCATTCAGATAGTTCTGTAGATCAATGGAACTCTCAATAGAGAGTCCAGAAATAAGCCCACAACTATACCACCAACTGATTTTCAACAAAGATGACCCGGCAATTCAATGAGAAAAGGATAACCTTTTCAACAAATGATGTTGGAACAATTAGATAAAGAGATCTGCTTTAAAAGTAAGCCCCCAAATCCTGATTCAAGTTCTGTTTTCCATTGGTGAGGAATGCCCTGTCCTAAATACCACAAGATGGCCAAATACATAACACCTGACTCTGGACAGAGATGAGATTGAGAACAATTTATTTGTCACATATATTCACAGCCCATGGGAAGAGGATAGATATGCTATGCTATGCAGGGCCATAAAGGGTTACTCTCAGGAATAGAATGAACTCATAGGGGCTATGGGAGGCAGGCTTTGTAGTAACAAGAAGATGAGGTGCCTCCTGGTTCCCATGGGAAGATGTGATTGGCTTGTCTGAAAAATTCCATGGCCTGGCAGGGAGGTGAAGCCCATTAGTTTGAGGACTGGGTAAAGTGCAGCTGCTCTGGTTGATAGAGGAACTGGCCAGATGGGGACCCTCTCTCTCTCTCTCTCTCTCTCTCTCTCTGGATAGGGGACATGTCTGGTGAGAGCCAGGTAACTGATTGCTAGGCTTCTGTGAGGCTGAAAGATGTCAAGGCAATACATGAAATTTTAGACCTTACAGTAAACTAACCTCACACCATATATAAAAATTAACTCAAAATAGTTCCATAGATATGATCTGTGATTATGAAATATCTATTAATTTTCTAATGTATATAGGTAAGTTTTTATAATTTTTCCCACAAAGATCTTGCACATTTTTGTTAGATTTATTCCTAGGTGCTTTGTATTTTTAGAGGCTGTTAATGTTATCTTTTTTAAGAATTTAATTTTCTACTTACCTGTTACTAGTATTTTGAGTTATAATTATTTTTATATATTGACCTTATAGCTAGCAATCTTGCTAAATTTTGTCATTCATTTTTATAATTTATTTGAAGATTTAAGCATTTTCTCTCTTTTTTTTTTTTTTTGAGACAGGGTCTTATTCTGTTTTTCAGGCTGGAGTCCTGGAGTGCAGTGGCACAATTTCCACTCACTGCAGCCTCAACCTCCTGGGCTCAAATGATCCTCCTGTCTTGTCCTTCCAAAGTACTGGGATTACAGGTGAGCCACCACACTCAGCCAAAATGACATTTTATTTATTAAGACGTGTTGATGTATGTTTCATTTATATATTGAATTTTGTTAATAAGAAATTGGAACATATCTACCAGTCTCTACAAAGAGAACATCAAGAACCTGTGTAACAGTCCAAAAAAAATCTGAGTGAGGTAAAAAAGAAATTATAATCCTTTACTTAATTGTGGCTAAGTACAAATCAACTTTTACCTTGGAAGTATTTTGTTTGAATATATGTAAATGTATAGATCCATGGGCAGATGTGGTGGCTCATGTCTATAATCCCAGCACTTTGGGAGGCCAAAACTGGAGGATGACATGAGGCCAGAAGTTGAAGACCAGCCTGGGCAACATAGTGAGACCCAGTTTCTACAAAAAACAAAATTAGCTGGGTGTGGTGGGATGTGCCTATAAGTCCTAGTTACTGGCTGAGGTGGGAGGATTGCTTGAGTCCAGGAGTTGGGGGCTGCAGTGAGCTATGGTTGTTGCTCCACTGCATTCTAGCTTGGATGACAGAGCATAACCTCATCTTTTTTTTTTTAAAGATTCATGCTGTAAAAATGATCAAATTATGCACAAAAGTATGAACACATCACAAAAATTTGAGGAGGAAAAAATCACTCATTTAACACAATAGCTGATTTTTATTGAATGTATCAAAATATAAACAATATATGTTATGTTCTTTTAAAAGTCACCTTGGTACTAGGCCAGGCGCCATGGCTCATAGCTGTAATCCCAGCACTTTGGGAGGCCAAAGCAGACAGATCACTTGGAGTCAGGAGTTCAAGACCAGCCTGGCCAACATGGCGAAATACTGTCTCTACTAAAAAATACAAAAATTAGCCAGGTGTCTTGGCACATACCTGTACTCTCAGCTACTAGGGAGACTGAGGCGGGAGAATCACTTGAATCTGGGAGGCATAGGTTGCAATGGGCTGAGATTATGTCACTGTACTCCAGCCTGGGCAACATAGCAAAATCCTGACTCAAAAAAAAAATTCACCTTGGGACTATATGTATTTTTTCTTTACAAATATGGTTGTAGTTCCACTTTTAAGGAGTTCTTTAGAATATATAGCATATTATTTAAAATATAATCAATCCTGTTCATGGAATGTAATTTTTTTGATTAGGAAAATGTTATAATAGATAAGTCTGGTGAATAAAGTGTACACTGTGAATTTAAAGTAGGCAGTAACCCAAGATAAAGGAAAACATGTATAGATTAAACTGTACTTCACAGTATTATTTTCAATAGCAAAAATTGGAAGCTATCCAAAGTTTTGAGTGAGTACAGAAATAACGTTATAGCCACACTGGAACACAATACAGCCTTTAAAAATTATCATTACGATGTCTATACAACAATGTACAGAAAGGTGTTCCTGTATAATGTTAAATTTAAAAAGCCAGACAGAAACTTGTGCATATATTAGTATTATGACTATGTAAAAATGTATATGAATAAAAAATAGTGCAAAGAAATATACCAGTATGCTCATATCTTTTAGATGTTAGGTTAAACCATATGAACCACATGTTTATAAATAAAAACAATCAAATATCACCAGTTTTATCTGGTTCAACCCAAGAAAGGAAATACACACACATGCACGTACACACACAAAGAAATACACATAAATGAAATATTGTTTGTTAATTTTCTTTATTGGCTTTCAAACATTAATAGAAAATAGCAAAATGTCATGAGAGTGCATTTGCTCTTTGTTTATTGTTAACAGTAGTTTCATTTCAGTCTCATAATGAAGACCTGGAAAAAGATAAAACATCACAAAACTGCCTAGGAAGAGGAATGGAACAAGTAGCAAAGAAGTTAGGAGGGGCCCATGAAGAGATTCAAAGGCTCACTGACCAACTACAAGTGAAGGAGAAAGAACAGTGTAAATTAGGTAAGCTGTGATTTCAGATGACCATTTCTGATCATGTTTTAACTGTATTGATCTCATCTCAGGCTGGAAAAAAACACTGAGAAAAAAATTAAGATAAACACATAAAAGTGACAAACAGCTTCATTTTCTACCATGTTAGGAATTTTTGTCAAAGCACAGACATATCTACCAAAAGTGCACAACTCCTAAGTGTATGCTACTCACCACAAGAAATTCCCAGCCTCTCAGAAACCCCCTGTGTTCCTTCTCTCTAACTCTGCAGGATGCAGAGTTAGAGAGAAGGATAGAGTAACTACTATCCTTAATTTGAATGCTGTTTCTGCATTTTGACTACATGCAGTATGCCTTCTGTGGTTTACTTCTGCTCAAGTCTTACAAGATTAATTCATTTTATTGCATATAGCAGTTGTTTGTTCACTCTTCTCTGTTGATAATATTTTATTAATAAACATACTACAATTTATCCATTCTACTGATGGACAATTGTGTTGTTTCCAGTTTTTGTCTATTATGAATATTGCTACCATAAACATTTTGGGATATGTCTTGGTGTGCTTATTATTTGGTTCTGATTGTGGTAAGAGTAGAATAGTGAATCAAAGGGTATGGGCAGGTTCTACTTTGGTCTTCCAAGGTAGTTATACTAATTTAAGGTTTCCTCAGTTGTATGCGAGATTTTAGTTCTTCCACATTGGTTTTCAATATTTGGTACTATCAGTCTTGTTAACTTTACCTTTTATGTTGAGGGCATAGCGATATTTAAGTGTGGCTTTAATTGGTATTCCCTGATGGCTAATTAAGTTGAAAATCCTTTCATATGTTTTTTGTTGTTGTTACTCATTTGGATATACAACATTGTGAAGTTCCCACTCTAGTCTCTTGTGTATTTTTCTAATGGGTTATATCTTTGTTTTATTTATTTATGGGAGTTCTTTATATATGTGGATATGAGCCTTTTGTTGGTTATAAATGTTGTCATTGTTATGTTTTTCTTTTTATCATAGAGAAATGTTATTATTTATCAAGTTGGGCTTAAGTGAATTATCCTTTATGCTTTCTGAGTTTTCATGTTTAAAGCCTTTTCTTCAGTACAAGATTATTGAAAATATTTACTCCTAGTTTTTTGAGGGGTACTTTTATTGTTTGTGTTTACATCTTTGCTTTATCTAGAATTTATTTTAGTATAAAATTTTTAAGTTATAATTCTCTCCTTTCTATATTTTTAATCTGTGACTGATTCTTTTACAAATGCAAATATAGGTTACATTATAATAATAAACATTAAAAATGTTAAATGTTATAAAACAATAATGATTATGCCAAACTGTGTGATTAAAATCAAAGAATAAAAAAAGAATAAATAAAAATAATATCAGGATGTAGATTTTTTTATAAATGCATTTTAAACAGTGGACACAAAAACTTTTCAGAATGATGGAAATGTTCTATATCCTAATTGAGTTGATGGGTATACAATTGTACATATTTTTCAGAATTCATCAAACTATTCACTCAAAAGGGTCAATTTTACTATAGGCAACTTATTCCTCAGTAAACACAATTTAAAAAGAAAAGAAAATTGGCCACATGACCATGCTGAGAAGCAATATCTGCTGCTTGGAATACAAGAGGAAAAAGAAGAAGCAGGATATTGAGTTCCCTCAGTAGTTACATTTGGACACAGCAGAAAACAATCAGATAGCAACCTGTTCTATCAGCAGTTGTTCTGTAGGGTACATCTCAAACTTATCAACTGAAAGCCATCTCTATAGTGAGTCTTCTAGGACTGTTGGGAAGCTAAATTGCAAGTCCTTTTGGAATGTTGTGTGCAGTATCAATGTGTGCACCATCTGTAACTTTCTGAGCCATCCAGTTATGGCAGAATCTGTAGCTAGGCATGTGTTATATGACAGTATTTACCAAGTATTAGCTTATTTTATTCAATAGACTCTTTAAATAAAGTGATTTATCTTAACCTAAATCCCTTTAGCTCTCTTTAGTTTATTCTTTAGGTCTCTATCACATCATAAAAATTGCGTGAAAATCAAAAATTTTTTCAATGATAATTTTTTCAAGAATAAGAAAGAATTTATATAAAATGTTCCTCAACAAATGAATATTAAGAAAAAAAGAGGGCCGGACGCAGTGGCTCACGCCTGTAATCCCAACACTTTGGGAGGCCTAGGCGGGTGGATCACGAGATCAAGAGATCGAGACCATCATGGTCAACATGGTGAAACCCCGTTTCTACTAAAAATACAGAAAATTAGCTGGGCATGGTGGTGTGTGCCTGTAATCCCAGCTACTCAGGAGGCTGAGGCAGGAGAATTGCCTGAACCCAGGAGGCGGAGGTTGCGGTGAGCCGAGATTGCGCCATTGCACTCCAGCCTGGGTAACAAGATGGAAACTCCATCTTAAAAAAAGAAAAAAAAGAGATGAGTTTTTAAAGATTTAAGAGACTTATTAACCAATTATGATGTGTGGCCTTTATTGAACCTTCATTCAAATTTTTAACATTTATAAAACAATTTGAACACTTGAATTATTGTTAAATTTTTGTTAAATTAATTTTTCATTTAAAAAGTTCTTATTTTTTAGAGATATATAGTGAAATATTCAGAGGTGAGTTAAATGATGTCTAGCATTTGCTTCAAAATAATACAGGTCTCTACCTTACACCTACACAAAAATTAGTTTAAAAGGGATCACAGAGCTAAATGTAAGTTAAAACTATAAAACTGTTAGAAGAAAACAAGGAATACATCTTCATGATCTTGGGTTAAGCAGTGATATGTTAAATATGATACCAAAAGCAAAAGTGATGAGAAAAACTAATGCATTGGACTAAATCAAAATTTAAAATCTTTGGACTTCAAAAGATACCATCAGAAAGTAAAAAGACAATTCACAAACTGGAAGAAATTTAATAATTTTCTTTTAATAATTAAAAGATAGCCCAATTTAAAAATGGGCAAAGGAGCTGGGGGCATGGTGACATGCACCTGTAGTCCTAGCTACTTGGGAGGCTGAGGTGGAAGGATAGCTTGAGTCCAGGAGTTTGAGGCTGCAGTGGGCAATGATTGTTACTGCTTTCCAGCCTGGGTGACAGAGTGAGACCCTGCCTCAAAGAAAAAAAATGGGCAAGGGTTTGAAAAGACATTTCCCAGAAGAAGATATGTGAATGACCAATAAGCACATGAAAAGATGCTCAGCACCTCCCATCACAAAAATTGATAAGTATTTTTAATTTTTGTGAGGTGATATATGTGTTGATTAACTTGATTTAATCATCCCACAATATAAACATATATCAAAACATTACATTGTACCCCATAAACATATACAATTATTATTTGTTGATTTAAAAAATGATGTTTGATACCATTAGTTATTAGGGAAGTGCAAAGCAAAACCACAATGAGAGTCTACTTCATACCCACTAGAATGGCTATGCTAAAAAAAGACAGACAGTGACAAGTGTTGGCAAGGATGTGGAAACATTGAAACTCCTATACATTGCTGGTAAGAAGGTAAAATAGTGAAGATAGTTTGGAAAACAATTTAACAGTTTCTCAAAATATTAAACATCACCCAAAAATTCCATTCCTAGCTATCTACCCAGGAGAAATGAAAACATGTATCAACACAGACTTGTATGTAAATATTTATAACTCTAATACTTAAAATAGCCAAGAGTTCGAAACACCCAAATGTCTGTCAATTGGTAACAGATAAGCAAAATGCTGTGTATCCACAATGTGCAGGAAGTAGCTAACAGCATGCCCAACACTGCTATCCTTAAGAAAGGACTGCTTATAACAGTCACAAGCATCTGGCTGACATCTGGGAATTTGGATTTGAGGAGGGTTCCCACCATTCCCTAACCAAAGTCGCTCACTGTGCCCAAGCTTTTTATACAATGTGGTCCATGCAGAACACCTGCTTTCCTTTAAGAGTCTGTATATGCTAAGCAGAAATTGCATGTGTGACCAGCCCTCAATAAAACCTTAGGTGCTGAGTCTTTACTGAATTTCCCAGGTAGACAACATTTTACATGTATTGTCACAGTTCACTGCTGGAGACACATTCTGTGTGACTCCACTGGGAGAGGACTATTGGAAGCTTGTTCCTGATTTCTTTTGGCTGTTGCCTGTATTCATCCTTTCCCTTTGCTAATTTTGCTTTATCCTTTTGCTGTAGGAAATCTTAGCTTTGAGTATGAATGTATGTTGAGTCCTGTGGATCCTCTTAGCATATCACCAAACATGGGAGTGATCTTGGGAAACCCTGACAGTCATATGATAGCATACTATCTGCCAGTAAAAAGAAAGGAAGTAGTTATACCTGCTACATGGATGTATCTCAAAAACATGCTAAGTGAAAGAAGTCAGATGCAAAAGGTCATGTATTGTGTGATTTCATTTATATGAAATATACATAAAAGGCAATCCTGTAGAGACAGGAAGTAAGTAGATTGGCACAGCTGGGCACAGTAGCATGTGCCTATGTCCCAACTACTTGCTACTTGGGAGGCTGAGGCAGAAGAATCACCTAGCCTATGAGTTTGAGTCCAGCCTGGGCAACATAGTGATACTGTCTCAACAACAAAAACAAAAAAAGGAAAGTAGATTAGTGGTTGTCTACGGAAAAGAATTGGGATTGACTAAGTGGGTATGACTTTTTTTAATAGGGTGATGGAAATGTTCTAAAATTAGATTGCAATGGCGGCACGCCTCTAGATATACTATAAACCATTGAATTGTCCACTTAAAATAGGTAATTTTTTTTTGAGACAGAGTCTTGCTCTCTCACCAGGCTGGAGTGCAGTGGCACGATCCCGGCTCACTGCAACTTCCGTTTTCTGGTTTCAAGCAATTCTTCTGCCTCAGCCTCCTGAGTAATTGGGACTATAGGCATGCACCACCATACCCAGCTAATTTTTTTGTGTATATATATATTATTATTTTTTTGAGACAGTCTTGCTTTGTCACCAGGTGCCAGGCTGGAGTGCAATATTGTCATGAGATTGGCTCACTGTGCTCAAGCTTTTTATACAATGTGGTCCATGCAGAACACCTGCTTTCCTTTAAGAGTCTGTATATGCTAAGCAGAAATTGCATGTGTGACCACAATCTCAGCTCACTGCAACTTCCACCTCCCAGGTTCAAGCATTTCTCCTGCCTCAGCCTCCCGAGGCAGGAGAATTTTGTATTTTTAGTAGAGACAGGATAGTCTCGATCTCTTGACCTCATGATCTGCCTGCCTCGGCCTCCCAAAGTGCTGGGATTACAGGCACGAGCCACCGTGCCCAGCCGAAATAGGTGATTTTTAAGATATGTAAACTGTACCTCAATAAATCTGTTAAAAATATAAGAACTGGGGGAAATAAGAGTATTAGGTGAAAATCTAAGGTGGCCCCACCTCTTGGTATGCACACATCTTTTCCCAGTTATTTAACCAAATACAATCTAGATGCTGCTGTGAAGAGATTTTGCATGTGTAGTTATGGTCTCAAACCAACTGACTTTAAAGCAGGGAGATTATCTTGCATGAGACTGCTCTAATCAGGTGAGCAGGAAGAGCAAGAAGGTGAAAGAGATTGAAGTGACTGTGCCCCTGCAGTGCCTGGTGAAGGATTCGAAGCTCATCTTCACAGAAGCCTCCAAGGCGGGGCTGCCTGGCTTTTATGACCCGTGTGTGGGTGAAGAGAAGAACCTGAAAGTGCTCTATCAGTTCTGAGGCATCCTGCATCAGGTGATGGTGCTGGACAGTGAGGTCCTCCGGATACCAAAGCAGTCCCACAGGATCGATACAGATGGATAAACTGCCTGAGAACTAGATTTTTAAAAGGCTGCAAAAATCTTTTCTTCCTGGGAGTCTACAAATTTGGAAGCAGGGAAAAAACCCAGACATCAGATGTTTTTATTTTATATTATTATTATAGGAGGTAGTACCATATCAATTATATGAAGGGACATGCAGACACCCCAGCTTTCGAGGGTGCTCGGGGTAGGACTGAGGCAGCCCTACTGGGAACCAGACTGCAGCATGGCCATGGCTGTTTTCCCTAGGATTGGTTCCCGAAGAGAAGGGCGCTGGCCTGACTCCGCAGGGTCCTCTGAGCACACGTGCTGACCGCAGCACGACACTCTATAGTTCTTGGTTGTGTCTGGAGGTGTTTGTGGAACATCTTGCCCTCACCACAGGAGCATGAGTCGCTTTTCCTGAAGTCCACGCCGAATGTGGGAAACAATGTGGAAAGGCAGGCAGGCAGGCCTTCAGGTCAGGGAGCATCTGCTGGGCTGACTTCCCACGACCACCTTCTCCTGCTGAAACATTACTGCTTGAATCTGGAGCAGATTGCAGGTTTATAAAACTGATTTTTAACTGAGAACAAACAGGTTTGGAAATTAGTCTTTTTTCCCCACTCCCAATCTGCTCAAATCGTTCCAGCAGCCCCCTCGGCTTAGGACAGGGTAATGTAACTCCCGATCCCAGGGTCTGTCCCTGACAAGGTGGCTTCCTGTATGTATCCCTGTGGGAAAACGCCCTGCCACCAGCATACTCGAGCTGGCCTCTATCCCTCCACCGCCTATACCACCCACCTCCAGAGTGCAGTGCTGGGCAAGGGCAGCTCGAGAGAACAGGGCCAGGCGCTCGCAAAGGTGGGCAAGACCTCAGACACTGAACTTGGGGGCGTGGACCCCAGGCCTGGCCCGTGGCACCCAGAAGGTGGCACTGCAACCTGCTGCTCCTGCAGGTCCAGAGTCCTCACAGGGAACCAGGGCCTGTCCTCTGGAGTCTCCCTTCAGACCCTCCCTTTATGTGCCCACTTGGGATGCAGAATGTGGCAGAGCTGGGACCCCCTCGACAGCCTGAGCCTTGGCTGCAGTAAAGTTTCCTGAGGCCCGTCTGGTGGGTCCTGGAAGTGGCAGCCATCAGTCGCTCTCGGTGACCCCTCGGAGTGAGCGCTGCACAGGCAGTGGCCGAGACAGCTGGTCCTGGGCCCCAAAGCACCGCCAGCCTTCACTCTGCCCACAGCTGTTCCTAGAGTCAGGCCTCCCCCCAGCACACGCATCTGAGTAATGGCGAAGAACCTCCTTCCTCTGGTTTTGAGAAGCACTTCAGGTTGTCCAATCCTGTAATATTCATCTCCATTCTTAAAAAACGTTTCCTGATAGCCCCACGGCCTGAGCAGCGGTGAGCATCATGTTGCATGAGCCTGGGCCCTGGGCTTCCCGTGCACCTCTGCCGCAGGCGCTTCTGGACACCCATCCTCTGCGTTCCATTTGCATTCGACTGTACAGAAGGCACTCACCACAATAAACCTTTCCTGAAAGCAATAAGAAAAAAAAAATTGCCAGGACATTTCCTGGCAAAAAAGATTTGAAGTGCAAGAGGGATTTAACATGAGGGAGATTCTTCATTAATAATTTTGAAAAAAAAAATTACTTTGAAGATGGAGGAGGCCATGTGACAAAGAATGTGGGCAGCCTCCGAGAGCCAAGAGAGACCTCCAGCTGACAGTGGGGAGATGGGGACCTCAGTCTTACACGCTCAAGGACTCAATTCAGCTAACAACCTGAATCAGATTGGAAATAGATAATTGTCCAGAGCCTTCAAAGAGAAACACAGCCTGGCCCACACCTTGATTTCAGCCTTGTAAGACTTTGATCACAGAACCCAGGCATACCATGCCCTGAACTCCTGACCTAGAGAACTGTGAACTAGTAGATGGATGCTGTTGTAAGCCATTACATTTGTAGTAATTTGTTATACAACATTAGAAAATTAATATTATTTGTAAGGGGATAAGTGAAACAAGATCGGCCATGAGTTGGTAATTGTTAAAATCTGGGTGATGGTTGTAGATATTGCCATAACTCTCTTCAAGCTACTTTTGTATATATTTGAAATTTTCCATAAGTAAAAAGGTTTTTTTTTTAAGAGTCTATGATAACTAGACTTAGAAAGAGACTTACAAATAGACTTAGAAAGTAAAACTGTTAATCCAGTGGAGAGCTCTCAAGAAAAGTTACAACCAGTACAGTTTTAGAAATATTACTGGTTTAAGAGGACTATTGAAAAGCTACAATTTTCTTTTTTTCTTTCTTTCCTTTTTTAGAGACAGAGTTTTACTCTGTTCCCCAGATTGGAGCACAATGGCATGATCATCACTCACTCACTGAATCACTCAAGTGATCCTCCTGCCTCAGTCTCATGAGTAGCTAGGATTGCAGGCATGTACACCTAGCTAATTTTAAATCTTTTGTAGACAAGGGAGTTTTACTTGCCCAGGCTGGTCTCAAACTCCTGGCCTCAAGCAGTCTTCATGCCTCAACCTCCAAAAGTGTCTAAGCCACTGTGCCCAACCCCAGAAAGCTACAGTTTTCAAGTATCTACACAAACATGGCAGAAACTAAGCTGACCATACAAGTTAATAAACTTGGTAGTCTGATATTATTTAAATTTTTACAATATATTTCACTATGTGTGCTATTCCAAAAATAGTTATTTTTTTCAAATAGAAATTAAGTCAAATGTTTTCAGAACACCTGAAGTACCTCCTCAGAACTTTGAGGTTCATAGAATACAGTTTGGAAGCCCCTGGTTTACATAATAAATTCTGAACTCTCTTGTATAGGAAACAAAGTCTTTCTAGTTTGGCTCCTGCCTATGTATCCAGCTCATGTCCCAGACTTCCCTAATTCTCTGCACTACAGACCAGGGAGTATTGAACTATATGTAGTTCCAGAACTACTCAGTGTTCTCTCCTACGTCGTCTCCTTTGTTCTGTCCTACCTCCTGTATTAATCGTGTTATTCCCTCTTTCTAGAATATCCTTTCCACCTGCCCTCACTTTACTTTCTCTCTGTCTTCCATAGAGGAATTCATTGGAAAACTGTTCTTTTAGTAAAACAGAAGCTATTTTTACATCTCTGGCTCATTGTAAACAGAAGTAGGTTCACATCCCAGCCATACTGTTTTCTAGTTGTATAATGTTGAATGAGTTGCTTTTCTGAATCTTGTTTATCTCATCTATAAAATGGGAACATGAATATCTAGTTTGCAGATTTGTTATGATGACACATATATCTGACGCTGGTAGTTGCTGCTATGGTAACAGTAGTAGTAAGAGTATTGCTATAGTTAGGAATTCAGTTTTAGGTGAATCTGGTAGGTTATCCTGGGATTTACTCTAAATAACAGAGCGTTATGGATGTAATAATAAAACCGGCACAATTGTGCTGATGTACTCACTCTGTGGTTAGAAATGACCTGTTTTAAATTCATGTTAGTCTCTTACTTCTGGGAGGTTCTTCATTTTGGTAATATAGGAGACCCGCCAGCAATATCACTGGTGATGAGGAGATCACAGGAAACAAAGTGATAAAACATGGAGTCGAGAACCCAAATCCAATAGACTCCAATGCCCCATGTCTTCCTAAATGTCATGTTGCCATCCTTATACAATTCTTGCATAGTACCAAAAGCTATTTCCTGAAATTTTGTTTTGATATTTCTAGTAGTTATTAGCAAAATTCTAAATATGATTGATTGCAGGAATTATTTTTAATTATTTCTGGGTGTAATTTCTTTTTACTAAACTGGTAATACCAGGCCTAAAATCTCTGAGCTGTTCCTGTTGTTTACAGTGGTTTAAATTCCTCTTTATCATGAAATCTGGTGGAGAAAACTATTAGGGAAAGACAATTATGAGATCTGATAATCAGGGATGGGGTAAATATAGGGTGCGGTAGGAACTCTAAGAGAAAAGTCTGAGGAACTCCCTGAGGAGCAGAAACTCCAAGGGCAGTAGCCAGATGAATGAAAGTGTTCCAGAGGGAGAGTCATTTGAAATTTGATTATTATACTCATAATTTGCTCCTTATACAAATATTTTTTTTCTTTTTTAAGATTCTGCACTTAAGAAGTCTCAACTAGAAATTGAAAAATTGAAGGAGAATTTGGTAAAGCATAAAGAAAATGGTAAGTCATTTTAGAAGATATGATAATTATTATTTAGTAGCCAGGAATGGTGGCACATGCCTGTAGTCCCAAAGACTTGGGAGGCTTGGGCCTAGGAGTTGGAGTTTGCAGTGAGCTATGTCTGTGTCACTGCACTCCAGCCTGGTCCATAGTGCAAGACCCCATCTCAAAAGAATAAATTTTTTTAAAAAATTATTATTTAATAATAACACATTAAGAAATAATATATGTTAATAATATGTTTTAAAATATTAATATTTAGGAATTAAAATAATATGTCCTACTACTATTATTGCTATTGCTACTACTATTATAATTATTGTTACTACTACCACTGCTACTACTACAATTTATTGCTTACTAACTGACAGGTACTCTGCCAGGCACTTCACATGCATTATCTCTAATCCTCACAACAGTCTATGGGCATACCACTCTGAACACACATTATCTCACCTAATCGTCATAGCAGTTCCAGGTAGTGAGTAGTAGTATCCCCAAAGTTAAGTGAGTTATCCAGTAGCTATATTAATTATCAGAGATGGTATTTGAATCTTGATATGTCTGACTCCCAAATCTGTGATCAACACAAATCATACATATTTTACTTTATAATGCATTTAACAATACTTTATACATATTTGTTCACTGGGAAACCAGTAGGCTTGGAATCAGTGGTGAATTAATCTGACCTTAGTTTGCCTATATAAAAATGCTACCAGTTATCAATAATATAATGAAATTTGGGTATTTTAATGGTAACAGTGAAAAAATTTAAATATGTTTACCAGTTTTTAAATAATTCTAAAACTAGGTATACTCTCCTTTTAAAAATGTATGAATACAATTATAAAATGAACACTGCTTTCTTTGGAATTAATAGAACAAACAGAAAAACAATCAATAAGGATATAAAAGACCTAAAAATACCAGCAATCAACATGACCTAATTGATATTTATAGAAAATTTCACCAGAATACAGATTCTTTTCATATATCCATGAAACATTTACCAAGAGAGACCATCCTGGTGGAATTGGAGGTCATTATGCTAAGAGAAATAAGCCAGGCACAGAAAGACAAACATTGCATGTTCTCATTTGTTTGTGGAATCTAAAAATCAAAACAGTTGAACTCCTAGAGAGCAGAAAGATTGTTACCATAGGTTGGGAAGGAGAGAAAAGGGGCAGTTTCCTGGGGAAGTGGGGATGGTTAATGGGTACAAAAAAGAAAGAGTGAATAAGACCTAGTATTTGATAGCAGAACAGAGTGACTATATTCAATAATAATTTAATTGTACATTTAAAAATAACTTAAAGAGTATAATTGGATTCTTTGTAACACAAAGGATAAATACTTGAGGGGCTGGATAACCCATTTTCTATGGCATGGTTGTTTCTCGTTGCATGCCTGTATCAAAACATCTCATATAGCCTTTTGGCTCTCTGAGCAGCACCATGGTTGTTGGCAAGAGCAAGCATCTTACGAAAGGTAGCAAAAAGGAAGCCAAAAAGAAAGTGGTTGATCCGTTTTCTAAGAAGGAATGGTGTGATGTAAAAGCACTTGCTATGTTCAATATAAGAAATATTGGAGAGACACTAGTCACCAGGACTCAAAGAACCAAAATTGCAGCTGATAGTCACGTGTTTGGTGAGTCGTGCTGACTTGCAGAATGATGAAGTTGCATTTAGACAATTCATGCTGATGGCTGAAGATGTTCGGGGCAAAAACTGACTAATTTCCATGGCATGGATTTACCCATGACAAAATGTGTTCCATGGTCCAAAAATGGCAGACCGTGATTGAACCTCACGTTGATGTCAAGACTACCGACGATTATTTGTCTCATCTACTCTGTGTTGGTTTTACTAAATAACACAATAATCCAATACAGAAGGCCTCTTATGCTCAGCACCAACAGGTCTGTGAAATCCAGAAGATGATGGAAATCATGACCTGAGAGGTGGAAACGACTTGAAAGAAGTGGTCAATAAATTGATTCCAGACAGCATTGGAAAAGAGAAAAGCCTTGCAATTAATCTGTCTTCTTCATGATGCCTTTATAAAAAAGTAAAAATGTTGAAGATGCCCAAGTTTGAATTGGGAAAACTCATGGAATGTCATGGTGAAGGTAATTGTTCTGGAAAAGCTACTGGGGATGAGACAGGTGCTAAATTCAAATTAGCTGATGGTTATGAAGCACTGGTCCAAGAATCTATTTGAAGTGCAAACTTTTAATAGTGGCAAATAAAAAGTCTTATTTGTTCCTGCTGAACACTCTAGGGGAAAAAAAGATAAGAAAAAAAGTCTTATTTGTGAAAGCAATCTCATGTACTCCATAAATATATACTCCTACTATGTACCCACAAAAATTAAAATTAAAAATTAAAAAAAGAGAGACCATCCTGGGCCATAAAGCAAATCTCTGTGAAAAAAATGAAACCATACAAATTACGTTCTCTGATCATAATGGAATTAAACTAAAAATTGGTAACAGAAGTAGGTTAGTTGGAAATATTTGGAAATTAAAAAGATATTGATAAAAAGACCATGCCTTCAGAGAAAAAAATTCAGAGAAATAATAGAAAATATTTTGAATTGAAGAAAATGAAAATGCAATGATATCAATGTTTCTGTGACATAGCTAAATCAGTACTTAGAGGGAATTTTATAGTGTTTAATGTTTATAATAGAAATCAAGAAAGGACTCGAAATAATCTAAGTCTATACCTGAGACACCCAGAATAAGGTGAGCAGAATAAGAACAGTAAGAATATAATTAAATATAATAAGAATAAGGAGAATAAGAACAGAATAAGAAGAGAAAATTAAATCCAAGGCATGCAGAAGGAAGAAGATATTAAAATAAAAGTTAAAATCAACAAAATTGGCGGGGCACAGTGGCTCACACCTGTAATCCCAGCACTTTGGGTGGCTGAGGCGGGCAGATCACAGGGTCAAGAGATCGAGTCCATCTTGATCAACATGGTGAAACCCCGTCTCTACTAAAAATACAAAAATTAGTGATGCACAGCTGTAGTCCCAGCTACTTGGGAGGCTGAGGCAGAGAATCTCTTGAACCCAGGAGGCAGAGGTTGCAGTGAGCCAAGGTCATGCCATTGTACTCCAGCCTTGGTGACTGAAAAGGACTCTGTCTCAAAAAAAAAAAATCAACAAAACTAAAAGCAAAACCACAATAGAGTTAAAGAGCTGCTTCTTCAGAGGCAATAACAACATTGATAAACTTCTACCTAGATTGGCCATTGAAAAAAGAGAGAAGACACAAATTGCTAATATAAAAAATAACAGAATATTTCTACATGGTAAAAAGAAAATATGGGAATATGAATAACTTTATGCCAATAAATTGATGACCTGGATGACATGGACACATTCCTTATAAGACGCAAACTACCAAACCTTACCCAAGAAGAAATAGCCCTAAATCTATGTAAGCAAACTAAATTTTTAGTTAAAAATCTTCCCATGGGCTGGGCATTGTGGCTGATGCCTGTAATCCCAGCACTTTGGGAGGCTGAGGAGGGTGGATCACTTGAGGTTCAAGACCTCCCTGGCCAGCATGGCGAAGCCCAGTCACTGCTAAAAATTAAAAAAAAAAATTAGCCAGGTATGGTGGCCCACACCTGTAGTCCCAGCTACTTGGGAGGCTAAGGCAGGAGAATAACTTTAACCTGAGGCAGAGGCTGTAGTGAGATTGTGCCACTGCACTCTAGCCTGGGCAACAGAGTGAGACTCTGTTTCAAATAAAAAGTAAAATAAAATAAAATAATAAAAATCTTCCCATGAGGAAAACTCCAGGCTAAGGTAGCTTCATTAGTGAATTCTAATAAAAGGAATTATTTGAGGAATAAATAATACTAACTTTATATAATTTCTTCCAGAAAATTGAAAAATAGAGAATACTTCCCAACTTTTTAAGTGGCCAGTTAACAAAGAAGTACAGAGAGTAAGAAATAACTTGTTGGGTAGTAAAATCAAATGCAGTGTGCTTGCCAACCATAGATTGTAAATAAGTGACTATACAAGGCATACTCTGCAGCTATTAAAGACGACATGGGCTGGATGCAGTGGCTCACGGCTGTAATCCCAGTACTTTGGGAGGCCAAGGCTGGTGGGTCATGAGGTCAAGAGATCAAGACAATCCTGGCCAACATGGTGAAACACCATCTCAACTAAAAATACCAAAATTAGCTGGGTGTGGTGGCATCTGCCTGTAGTTCCCACTACTCAGGAGGCTGAGGCAGGAGAATTGTTTGAAGGCGGGAGGCAGAGGTTGCAGTAAGCCGAGATCGCACCACTGCACTCCAGCCTGGATGACAGAGCTAGACTCCATCTCAAAAAAAAAAAGAAAAAAGATGACATGGAGCCAACTGTGCACTGACATGAATTGATTTCTGTGATATATTATCAAGTGAATAAGCCAAGTAAGATGTGTGGTATAATGTCATTTGGGTTTTTATATTTGTGGAGTGTGGTATGTGTGTATGTATACCCATGGGACTACTGTGAGCTGGTATATACTGGTATGGCAGTAAAGTTGTGAAAATGCTGGAATAATTCTGTGTTGAGTTGTAAGTGTTTGTTGTCCTGAGTCTTCCAAGCATTCCTACCTGCCTTAACTGTCATAGCTCCTTCTAGCACCATGTCTTCCCAGCCACTAAAGAGATAATATTTAGCACAGCAAAATGTTCTCTAAAACTATACTTCAGAGCTACATTCTTACAGATGAGGGTACATGCTTACCCAGTTGTTAAATATTTTTATACTATTTTTGTCTGTCTGTATATTACTATAAATATATATATATTTAAAAATATTTACCATATTTTGGAACATGGTAGTAGGTGAAAGTGGGATAAAAATATTCACTTTGAACAAAACTGTGTAGTTTGATTAATAAAAAGCCTATGTTCTGTTTGTGATCAATAATATTTGAGGTATTAACACTGTACAATTTCAAGACTTACAGTAAAGCTACAGCATGGAATTGTTCTAAGAACAGATATATAGACTAATGGACTAGGCGGTATGTAAAAGAGACAGGACTGAAAGGAAGTTAGGAAGACCATTTTTTGGTTATTTAACTTGTGAAAGTTCAGCAAAATTGTTTTAAAATTCTAGGTCCTAGAAGAACCTCTCTTGCTGGAAACCCTATACTCAAAAAGTCCAGTTCATTGGTCTGGTGAGAGTAACATAAAACTTTCTCTGTTATTTCATTAGGTTGGTAGAATATTCTAGGACTAGACTTGAGAGCTTAGCAGCTCTCCTGCACAGAGAGCCAGCCACATATGCAGAGATATGATAGGACTGGCAAGAAGGGCAGGCAATAGCACTTCCTTCGTTTTTAGAGTTAGTGCTCCTGAAACTAAAACATTGCTCCAGTTGAGTAAACTGTGTTCTCTGTTTTAGATGCAGCTGACCTACAGAAAGCAAAGGAACATAATCAGAGACTGGATGAGGAAATTCTAGCTTTAAGAAATAGGGTTCGATCACTTGACTCAGAAAAAAAACTGCTTGGTGAAATGGTAAGTTTAATTTACTTCTTAAAACTTATTTAAATGTGTCTACCATAACAATCAGCAGCTTGAGCAATACGGATATACAACATTTAAGTGGGTCTTTAGTGAGGACCAATAGTGGTGACTGTAACATCTCAGGTGGATGCTGTGCTTTGACCTAGATGCATTCTATCAGTATTTATATTTTATGCATTTTAACTACCTATGCTAAACAGCAATATCATTGCTATCATGTAAATCTAGGATCTTTTAAATAAGGAATTAGATAATAGTTTATAGTTAATACATTTACCACATAGAAAATATTACTCTATTACATTGGATAAGTTTAAGATTATTAGTACTAAATCTTGAATTCTTTCATTTTTAACTATTTATTCTTAGCAATTTACTAATTTTTTAAAATACATACTTCCAAATTTTAAATATATATCTCTTCAATTTTAGTTTATTTTCATTAATCATATCTCTAATATTTAACAAAATACTCGGCATAATACTAGGTGCTTTAGAAATTTTTTTTGCAAGAATGAATAAAGACACACCAGGATGGCTACTATCAAAACAACAGAGAATAACAGGTGTTGATGAAGATGTGGAAAAATTGAGCATTGCTGGTGAGAATCTAAAATAGTGCTGCCAATGTGAAAAACAGTTACTCTAAAAGTTAAATATAGAATCAACATGTGGTCTGACAATTCCACTTCTGGATATGCACCCCAGAGAATTGAAAACAGAGACTCAAACATATATTTGCACATCCATATACATAGCAGCATTATTTACAATAGCCAAATGGTAGAAGCAGCTCAGATGTTCATTGACAGAAGAACCTATAAGCGAAATGTGGTATAGCCATAGAATGGAATATTATTCGGCCTTAAAAAGGAAAGCAATTCATATACATGCTGCAACTTGAATGAACGTTGAAGACATTATTCTAAATGAAATAATACAACCACAAAAGGAGGAATAATATATGATTACACTTGTCATACAATATATGACGTGCTTAGAGTAGTCAAAGTCATGGAGACAAAGTATTAATAGAATGGTTGTTGCCAGTGGCTGGGGAGAGGGAGTAATGGGAGTTATTTTGTAATGGGTATAGAGTTTCAGGTCAAGATGAAAAGAGTTCTGGAGATGGATGCTGGTGATGGTTGCACAATAGTGTACTTGGTAATGTGCTTAATAATATGCTTAAAGATGCTTAATGCCACTGATCTGTACACTTAAAAGTGGCTAACATGGGAAATTTTGTGTTATGTATATTTTCCACAATAAAAATGCAATCATAAAAAGAATGAATGAACAAGTGAAGGTTGATAAGTTGTGTAAGTCTTCGTAAATTTATGTATCTAATACTATTATATGTTAAAATGTGTGTGTATGCATGAAAAAGTTCAGGGAGGGTACATTCCAAGCAGTGTTATTTCTGGAAAGGGAAGACTGGTTGTGATATGAAGGAAAATACCATTTTTTACTCTGTATACCTGTGTGTTGAAGTTTTACAAAAAGAATGTATTTATGTATTACTTGGGTAATTAAAAAGCAAAACAATAATATATCCAAACAAAAAATGAGAAGTTTACAAGATATTTACTTTTATATTTAAGGTTGAGAAACTTAAAGGAGTGGTGTGTGAATCTCAAGAGAATAAGCAACTTGGAAACCACTCCCCTGGAAAAACTACGGGTGCTGAACGGAGAGAACAGGTATTTTAAAGTTCTCTTCTTTCTGATTTCTAATTTTTGAGTTGTATTTCTTACAGAGTATACTAGAGCAATTGGTGCTAATTATTTGCTACTCCTCTTATTGGGCTTTTTCTATTGCTTAGCTAATTAGACTGGAAAAGGAAATTGGGCTATAGAGGATATGTTTCTGTTCATTACCTTCTCATAGAAAACAATTAATTTGGAGAATATAGTAGCTTGTTTCTTTGAAGAGAAAATAATCCTATGAAGATACAACCAATTTGAACATACCATACAGAACTTATAAGGTGTAGGCTCCAGTGTGTACAGTGTCTGCCATATTCAGCATGATCAGCCTCTGAAGTGGTGAGCAAAGCAATCAAACCCAAGACAGGCTGATGCAAGTGCCAGGGTATATCTAGTAGATAGTGGTTTTAATTTGCCTTTTGAGGGTGTCTAATGACCATGAATATGTTTTGGCCATTTGTATATGTTCTTTTGTGAAGCATCTGTTCAAATATTTTGTAAATTTTTAATGGAGTGGTCTGTATTTAAAAAAAAAAAACAAACTTGTTTTATTTTTATTTTTAGAGACAGGTTCTCACTGTGTTGCCCAGGCTGGAGTACAGGGGTGTAGTCCTGGCTCGCTGCAGCCTTAAACTTCCAGGCCAGGCCAAGCCATCCTCCTGCCCCAGCCTCTCAAGTAGCTGGGACTATAGGCATGCAACACCACACGCAACTAATTTTAAAAAATCTTTTTTTGTAGAGACAGGGTCTCACTATGTTGTCCAAGCCAGTCTCAAACTCCTGGCCTCAAATAACCTTCTTGCCTCAGCCTTCCAGAGTGCTGGGATCACAGGCATGTACCACTGTTTCTGGCTTGTATTCTTTATATTGAGTTGTAGAAGTAGTTTTGTTTTGTTTTTTAAATATTAGAGATAATGTCTCACCATGTTGCCCAAGCTGGTCTCAAATACCTGGCTTAAAGTGATTCTCCATCTTTGACTTCCTAAAGTGCCGGGATTACATGCACAAGCCACCACACCTGGCCAAGAGATCTTTATATATTTTTAATACCAGGCCATTGTTTTAGATCTTTTCTCCTATTCTATGACATGTCTTTCATTTTCTTAATAGTGTTTTATAAAGAGTAGAAGTTTTAAAATTTTGTTGGAGGTGAATTCATCAGTATTTTCTTTTATAATTTTGTGATAGGACACAAAAAGCCTATTTAAAAAATCTTTGTCTGCTCTAAGGTCATAAAATATGTTTCTTATATTTTCTTCTAAATATTTTATAGTTTTAGTTTCTACATTTAGGTTTATGATTTACTGTAGGTAAATTTTGTATATACTTATATAATTTTTGAGGTAAAATTGAGAGGTTCATTCATTTTCAATATATATCCAGTTATTCCAGAAACATTTGGTAAAAAGATTTATTTCCTGATTAATGTTGCCATCTTTATTAAAGACATTATGAAGGTCTACTTCTGAACTCTCTATTCTATTCTGTTAATCCATGTGTTTATTCTTAGAACAATTTCATGCCATAACTTTATTGTAAGTCTTGAAATTATAAGGTATAACACCCCCCCCAACTTTGTGAGTTTTTTCTTTAAAAGTTGTTTTGGCTATTCTAGGTTCTTTGCATTCCCAAATACATTTTAGAATTGGCTTGCCAGTTTTGATATAAATGCCTGCTAGGATTTTTATTGGGATGACATAGAATCGTCAGATGAATTTAGGGAGAATTTATATTTTAACAATATTGAGTCCTCTAATCCATGAACATGGTATGTATTTCTATTTATTTGGGTCTTCATCAATATATCTCAGCAATGTTTTATATCTTTCAGTACATAGACCTTATACATATTTAATTAAATTTGTTCTTTTTCAAAATTGAAACATAATTTATACAACATAAAATTTACATACTCTTTCAAAATGTACAATTCAGTGGTTTTTAGGATATTCACCAAGTTGTGAAACTATCATCACTGTCTAATATCAGGACATTTTTATCCCCCAAGAAAGAACTCTGTATCCATTAGTATTCATTTCTTACTTTTCTTCCTGTCCCCCTTCCCCCAGCCTCTGGCAACCACTAAAGTACTTTCTGTCTTTGAATTTGGTTTTCTTGTACATTTTACATAAATGGAACCATACAATATGTGGACATTTGTGTCTGTCTTCTTTCACTTAGCATAATTTTTTCAAAATTCATATTATAGTATGAATCAGTACTTTATCTTTTTCTTTTTTTCTTTTTTATTTTTTTATTGCATTTTAGGTTTTGGGGTAAGTACTTTATCTTTTTCTATGGCTAAATATTTTACTGAATGGATTTTCTTTATGAGGCAGGGTCTCATTCGGTCATCCAGGCTAAAGTGCATGATCATTTCAGCCTTGACCTCCCAGATTCAAGCAATTTTCCCACCTCAGCCTCTTGAGTAGCTGGGACTATAAGTGCCCACCACCACACTCAACTAATTTTTATGATTTTTAGTAAAAACAAGGTTGCCCAGGCTAGTTGCAGACTCCTGAGCTCACATAATCCTTCCATGTGGCCTCCCAAAATGCTGGGATTATAGACATGAGCCACTACAGCCCACCCTTAGTGAAGTGGCATTGTTATCTGGGATAAATACCCAGGGTTTGTCATCTTATGCTAGGAATATTAAAGACATAGACACACATGGTGTGTTAAGTAGTAGAAAGTTTAATAGGCAGAAGAAAGGCGAGAGGAGAACAGCTCTCTCATTTGTGAGAGAGAGGGGCATCCAAAAGGGAAAAGCTGGCCTATGGCAGACTGCAGCAGATTTCATGGGCAGGCTTGAGGAGATGGTGTCTTATTTACCTAGGGCCCACAAATTGGTTCGACCAGGTGTGACGTTTATAGTGTGTGGAGAAGGCTTGTCACCCCATCCTAATTTTAATATGCAAATGGGCTTTCCCCTTGGCCAGAGTCATCTTGTCTGCTCCATACTGTATGTGTGGCTGGCAAAGAGAAGGGAAGATGGAGCTGCCATTTCAATCATACCTAGTCTCAGGTAGCCTTTTCCTATTGGCACAACTGTTGGCATTCACCTGTGCAAGCTTTCAGCTTACTTGTCTATGTCTGCAGCTTGATTTTACAGGCTGCTCTTTGTTAGAGAAGAAAATGATTTTGGGGCTGCTTTTTATTAAAAGTAAAATCTTACTGAGGACTTCTTTACCCTCACTATCTGCCTAAATAATTTCTTTTTAACTCCTATATCATTCCCCCTCAGGAGTGGCAACCCTGTTATTAGGGGATGTTAGATGATAACTCCTTCTGGCTACTTTCTGCCAAAATGGGTGCCCTGTGAGGAACAGTAGCCAGGGCTTCTCCTGGGGTCAGTCTAAGGGTCCTCAGATGAAAGGCATGTCCATGCATCATTCTGTCTGCAGCACCATTTGGAGTTTAATGGCTGTCCACCATTCCAGTGGGTTGTAAATACTGGTTCGCTTCTGCCACATGCTGCTGAAATGTTAATGTCAGTATAAAAGTAAGATTTTTTTTTTTAAGGATAAGTGGCATTGGATTTGGGTGGCTAGAGTAACTTCATTGTTAACCTTGGCTAAATCTTTCCTGCAATTATTAATTCTTTCATGACTTTCACAGACCATTTATGACATGCTTAAACTTTCTTACTTGTCCTAAACATCCGTCTTTTTAAACAACCAGTTATTCTCTTTAGGATAAGAATTTACCATACAAGATCCTTTCTTATATAAAATCTATTTTATTTATAACCATCTTTGCATAGCTAGGGTGTGACATATTACCAAACCCAATAAAAAGTCCTACTGTACTCAGTGATATTAAAACTTCATGTTTACTTCCTGTCAATAGTTATTATTCTTGCTATAAGGATAATAAGCAAAATACTACAGCAGTGGAAACTCTCTAATATTTCAGTTAGAAGGTGCTACCATGTATGACTCTATTGCAAATAGTAAAGTACAGCAATACCCACAAGGGTAGTGTAGTAGATCATTTTCATCTAAAATTTTACCTTCCAAGATATAGAATTTCTCTTTTGTGAGGTCTATAATGTTCCTTGGGTTTTTGTTGTTGTTGTTTTTGAGATGGAGTCTTGTTCTGTCACCCAAGCTGGAGTGCAGTGGTGCAATCTTGGTTCACTGCAACCTCCATCTCTTGGGTTCAAGCCATTCTCCTGACTCAGCCTTTCAAGTAGCTGAGATTACAGGCGTGTGCTACCATGCCCAGCTAATTTTTGTATTTTTAGTAGAGATGGGTTTTCACCATATTGTTGAGCTGGTCTCAAACTCCTGACCTCATGATCCACCCTCAACCTCCCAAAGTGCTGGGATTACAGGTGTGAGCCACCACCATGCTCAGCCAAATTCCTTGGTTTTATTTTCTCAAAGAAATCTCTTAGTTATGAGCAACCTACTCACTTTTATTGCCTGGCAGGATGTTCAGGATATTTGCCCAGAACTACCATATGATCCAGATTTTTATATTACCTGTACATTTTTGTTTCTCCCAAGCTGCAGGAGATCATTACTTGATTCACAGGAATAAGTAGGGCTAGTCAAAAATATAGGCAAAAAAACTTAAAAACAACCAATGAAACTAGGATTAAATGACAAATGTATGATAAGTTTTGGAGCATAATTTATTTCTCTCAAGTCCTCATTTTCAGTAAAAACAAATTATGATAGGATCATGTTGTTTGTAGAATAAAGTTTAGTCATATACTTGACCTGGTTATTTGCATAAAGTGCAGCAAGAATAATTATTTCTACATAGTTCTTTTGGATTGGCTTTGATGAAATTTTGTTCCACAAGGAATCTCAGATAGGACCTTTTAAAGCCAAGTTCAGGGTGCTGTGGGTTGTTGGCACAGATCTGGGCGGACATTTAGGCTGGAGTGCCTGTAAGATGGAGCTTCCTGCTCCCCAGAAAGAGGGAGAGCCGAAAGCAGGGAGATAGGTGATATGGCTTGGCAGGTCCCACCCCCACAAAGA